TTTTCATCATCCATAATATAGAAAATAATCCAATGTTCTTTAATGACATTAAAAGATAACAAATACATAGAAAATTGTCCTTCATAATAAAAAATAAATATAAGTTAAAAATTATTTAAAAACTGATATTATAAATATAAAAGGCAAATAATCTTTTTAACATTTTATCACTTCATCATCATTTATAATAATGGAAAAATTTATTACAAAAAATATTTTTTATTTTTAAATATAGTTCTTATCTAAAAAAACATACAACTTGTAGAATTCAACATATGTTAAGATGGATTCAAAATTCTGTTTATATTTTTTAAAAATAAAATTAATATTATAAAATTTTGTGTTTCATTTTTATCATTTAAATCTGACATATCATATTGTGTGTATTAAGTAAATATTAACAAAAAATTCTTAAATAAAACTTTTAATAACTGTTAAATGTCAAAAATACAAAAACTAATTTTAATATATATTTAAGTGTTGTTATAGTTTTAGAATAACTTTTAAAACTATATTTAATGTTTACTTATTTAAATATAAATCAGCTTACTAGATAAATAAAACTTACTATCACAATAATGATAATATAATAAAAAGAAAAATAGACAAATTATTATTGAAAATGTACATATTACTTTTCTGAATATATTCTTCATCTTTTTTTCTCCATAAAACAATTTGATGAATTAGATGTAATTAAAGTTCCAAACATGCATTGAAATTAGTACAAATTAGTACAAATGTGTTAATACAGCAATAGTAGTGTTTTTTACTAGATGGTATTATTGTTAATAAAATGCAATTTTTTTAAATTATAGAATAAATTACAAATTTTCAAAGACCCCAGATTTGTATGCAAGTGAATGATTTTTTTTTCTTTAAATGCTGTAATGTTAAAATTTTGGTATAAATACTATCTGGGTCTGAGTGGATCAAATTAACATTGTCCAATAATGTATATTTTATGTGCGTTTATGAATTTTACTAGACATTTTGCAAATTTTACCATTTTCAGGACTAAATAAATATTTTATAAGCTTTATTATAGCTTGTTTGCCTTATTGCAAATGCTATTTTTTTCAAATGATCTATAGCTGTTTATGCAATAAATCTTTTTTATGCATGTGCAGTTCACNATTCATAAGTAATCGCAAATACTAACTTATGTAACAAACAATAACTCATATTTTGTATGGTTTGTAATAGGAAAAAAAATAATTAAAATTATCTAAACATATCAATATTACAAAAAAATGACAAAGTGTAAAGCTTAGTTCACACTCAGCAAATAGCAAAAGCAAATGAGAAAAGTGAGTTTTATTCACTTAGTGAAATTGACCCATACAACCAAAGGCAAAAAGTGATTGCAAATTTTAAGGAGCCAATCATTTGCAAGCAAGAGAAAATGTCATCTTGAAAAACAAAATAGCCACTTCCAATATTCTGTCATTAACCACATTTGTTTATTTACTGAGAAAGAAAGAAAGGTCAAAAAGAAAACAATGCTGGGTGAGATGAATATTAAAAATGCATAATTACAACATTTACTCTATTGTGTCAATCTGACATATCATATTGTGTGTATTAAGTAAATATTAACAAAAAATTCTTAAATAAAACTTTTAATAACTGTTAAATGTCAAAAATACAAAAACTAATTTTAATATATATTTAAGTGTTGTTATAGTTTTAGAATAACTTTTAAAACTATATTTAATGTTTACTTATTTAAATATAAATCAGCTTACTAGATAAATAAAACTTACTATCACAATAATGATAATATAATAAAAAGAAAAATAGACAAATTATTATTGAAAATGTACATATTACTTTTCTGAATATATTCTTCATCTTTTTTTCTCCATAAAACAATTTGATGAATTAGATGTAATTAAAGTTCCAAACATGCATTGAAATTAGTACAAATTAGTACAAATGTGTTAATACAGCAATAGTAGTGTTTTTTACTAGATGGTATTATTGTTAATAAAATGCAATTTTTTTAAATTATAGAATAAATTACAAATTTTCAAAGACCCCAGATTTGTATGCAAGTGAATGATTTTTTTTTCTTTAAATGCTGTAATGTTAAAATTTTGGTATAAATACTATCTGGGTCTGAGTGGATCAAATTAACATTGTCCAATAATGTATATTTTATGTGCGTTTATGAATTTTACTAGACATTTTGCAAATTTTACCATTTTCAGGACTAAATAAATATTTTATAAGCTTTATTATAGCTTGTTTGCCTTATTGCAAATGCTATTTTTTTCAAATGATCTATAGCTGTTTATGCAATAAATCTTTTTTATGCATGTGCAGTTCACAAGAAATATCTCTCCACAATAAGATTACAGAATTCAAATGTTTTAAATTTGAACTGTTTAACTCACATTCTTCCATGATGTTCCATGATACAATACAAAACAAACATGAAAACCTTTCATTTTTCAAAATTCTAAAAATCCTTTAAATTAATTGGATTAAAATAATTGTAAATGTTATATTTATAAATTTAATAATAATAAGAAAGATTTAAATTTTGTGCAGATATAATGTTTAATTAAATATAAGGGAGATAATTTCATGTGAGTAAAGTATTCAAACTTACTTTTGCATATGAAGCATACACAGAATGCATACCATTATATTGAATTTGGTTCAATCAACAATATGAATAAAACAGCAAAAACTGATAAAGATTCACAAAGAAATTATGTAGATAAGTTTCATCCTATACATTTAAAATAAATCATTTCCTGCTAAAAACCAGGTCAAATTTCTCAGCATGTTGATATACTTAGTCTCAGTATCGTTACATCTTACATTAGTGCAACATAAGCATCAAAACACTCTCTTTTACAACTACAACTAAATCTACAATTAGTTAATAACTTATTAAGAGCATTTACTCATTTCTTATCATTGGCAAGATTATAAACAAAAATATACAATACTTTAGATCAGTGATATAACTATAGAATGAGGAGAACTAGGAACCCAGTCATCCTCAAACATCTTATAAATAATTATATATATAGAAATAAATTCAATAATGATTGATTAACATAGAAAACAACATAGAAAGTTACAATAAAATTGTATTTAATCTATTAAACTAAATTCTATTACCAACACACATTAGTACTTAATGAAATAAGCAATTACTTGATCTAATAATGTATGAATAATCATCAGAGAATTAAATTACATTCACAGGAATATATAACATATAACAATCTAAATATTCATTATTGTTAACTTACTTAAAAATACAAAATGTAGTGATATTCAATAATTTCATTGTGTAATAAAAAAANGTTTTTTTTAAACTCTTTCCGCCCTGTGGGCACTAAGAGGGCTTCTTTTAGCAAGCCCATTATGGGTTCGGCCAGGCCCACAATTGGGCGGCCGGGTGGTGAACCGACTTATCCGGGCGGACCATTCCGAAAAATTCCTGGGGATTTTTCGATACGTCCGGATTAGATCCCAGATCCCTCAGAGCGGTAGGCTATGTTTATACATATAAACTTCTTATAGAAAATGAAATTTATATAAACCTGTTACATTTTCTGTTACATTTTCAATAAAAATTTTATAATTTTATTTGTAACTGATTTGATTGCATATCTCCTACATGAAAAATTATTCTAATATGGGTTTGTGACAGCATAATTTTCAAATTGCTTGTGTCACCTATTGTCATATGTTTAACCTCTCCATCTAAAAAGTATGACATTAGTAAGAATTTACTTGCAAAGAATACATATGCACTTCAACCTACAAATTTTAACATATATTATTAGTACTTTTAACATGCATAATGCATATTTCAAGCATTTTAACATGCATATGGCACTGCATATATCTAGAATTTTTAAGTTTTTATGTTTGTACATATATTGCAATTTTAAAGTGTAAATAAATCTGGCCTTTGTATTCATTTTAAATATTCATAAGTAATCGCAAATACTAACTTATGTAACAAACAATAACTCATATTTTGTATGGTTTGTAATAGGAAAAAAAATAATTAAAATTATCTAAACATATCAATATTACAAAAAAATGACAAAGTGTAAAGCTTAGTTCACACTCAGCAAATAGCAAAAGCAAATGAGAAAAGTGAGTTTTATTCACTTAGTGAAATTGACCCATACAACCAAAGGCAAAAAGTGATTGCAAATTTTAAGGAGCCAATCATTTGCAAGCAAGAGAAAATGTCATCTTGAAAAACAAAATAGCCACTTCCAATATTCTGTCATTAACCACATTTGTTTATTTACTGAGAAAGAAAGAAAGGTCAAAAAGAAAACAATGCTGGGTGAGATGAATATTAAAAATGCATAATTACAACATTTACTCTATTGTGTCAGAAAGTTTCTGTATCCATCTTGAAAACAACAAGAACCATGTGACAACTAATGGAAATACAATTGGTGGCGAAATTTTTTCACTAGCGAAAAAGCTTGACAATTCCAAACTTCAAAGTGATTCGCAAAATGGTAAAATTTGCTGGAAATGACATCATGTCTAATGTGTTATTCGCTCTGTTTTTCACTTTTGCCGGGGAATCGCACTCAGTGTAAACTAAGCTTAAGAAGAAAACTAAATGATAATATAATTATGATGAAGTTATAATTTAGTTTTTTAGTATGTTCATCATTCAGTTTTACAGTATTTAAATTAAAAGAATACAAATGCAATATGATTGTGATAAGTAACTGATATCTTTGAATTACTGAAACATGTTTTTCTAAATATTTTTAAAATAACAAAATATTTGAAATTCTGAAGTAGAGTGATACTATAAAGTCTTCATAATTCTGTATAGTTTATAATATTATATATTGTAAATTAATATTCTTAACTTTTAAATTTTTTCAAATGTCTGTAATATTAGTTTGAAGAAAAAAGTGAAAATGATTTTATTATGATATGTCATGCCAAATAAATCATATTGATTTTTAAAAAATATTTTATAAATTACTAACCTATTTTCATAAACATACTTCTTTCCATTTGTCATTGTGTCATCATTATCATCATCATCATTGTCATCATCAGTTTCATCTGAAATAACATTTACTATTACAGTCAAAAGTATAATTAAAAGTTTAATGAATTTTAATTTCTACAATCAAACATTATTTGATGCTTAAATCAAACTTTAAGTTCTTAATCTTAAAGGTGATTCAATATCTATATTAAAGTAAACCTAGTAATTAATTAATTAAGCAGAAAATTATATATAATTTGCTGCTTAATTATATATTTATATATAGCTTTTTAATAAAAGTAAATTATTATTCACTTTTTTACAGCTTTCAAAAAAATTCATGTATTAATGCAACAATTATTATTATTTTCTAAGTAAAATAACTCCAAAATATCTTTAAAATTCAGCAAAAAAATTTTATATAAGAAGGGTTTTCAGTTTTATACAAGATGGGTTTTAAAACCATCTTCAGGTTAAACCCTTTTCACACTGTAATTTTTAAGCCAGTTTAATAGTTAAACAGGATTAAGTTAAGTCAAGTTACTGCTAACAAAATTTACTACTCTTTCACAATGAGAAATGTTAAGTGACTTATTTCACATTACCCTCTAGTGATTATACATTATGTTACATTTTAAATAAAATTAAAATTTTGGATACATTATGTTACATTTTAAGTATAATTAAAATTTTGTTTATTTTTGATAAACCATTGCAAACTAATTTCTTTTGTGTAATTTCAGATTAAAATATCAATTTTAAATAATTATTTCAGATAGATATTTTATCCAACATTTATGTGGTTGACAACATGTCATTAATTTTGTTATTTCAACTATGAAAACAATTAATATTCTTAAATGTATGCTTCTGTTATTCAAAATATTTAAATTAAAGTAACATACTTATCAATAAAAAAAAAATATCACACATTATTTTTGACAGAACAAATAATAATTCAAACAATATATTTTTGTTAAATTATCGTTCAATCTGTCAAAAATGATATAAAGTTAAAAAAGTATTGTTTTGAAATATTGCTTGATATGTCAAAAATGTTCAAATTCAATTGGAACAGTGACTCATGAACTGTACATTAACAAGCTGGCTGTCCTAAAGCAGAACAAAAACATTCCTTTTTGAAAAATTTAAAAGCTGGCCAACTGAAAGTAAACATTTTATACAGATAATGATATGGAGCAGAAACGTGAGGTAATACAAACTTTTTTATTTAATGTATATAAAGCATTATAAAGCATTATTCAGATTGTCATCATCTTTAATAAAAAAAATTTTTTTTACTAAACATCTCACGCTTTTATATGGGGGATTTGCCGAAGTTACAAGCGCGAAAAAATGACATCCGTGGGATTAAATAACATTTAAAGATTAAAATTCTTCGCTTTAAGGGATCACAAAACCTGTAGATAAACCATAAACTTGGCTCTATTTGTAGTTACTGAATCGCGTGCATGTTTTTTATTGCATGATAAGTGCAAATTCTGCTATGCACGATGCCTATAATTTAAGTAGATTTAATAGATGTTAATTTATATATTAGAGCCTTGCTTAGAAACCAATGTTTGCAATTATGAGCGTTTTATGTTTATTCTGTGGAATTTTTAATTATTTATCTTAATAAACGTGCGACATTTNATTTAACATTACTATATATTCTTTATATTTAACAGAATTATAAAAGTGTTTTGCTCTGGACATCAGAAATAAGTCTTTAATAGTAAATAACTAAAGCTTGGCATATGTTTACTTGTTGAAAACATTTAAATATTATAAGTATTTCCATTATTTTAAGAAAAACAATTTTATGAAACAAATGGAACTTTGAATCCATGCTGAATTTTACAACAAGCAAGACAAGAAAATGTAAAAAGAAAGTAATTTGGTTGTATTTTACCATATATTTTTACAGAACACTATCACTATAAAAAACAATGATCAGTAAGTTCTGTATTTAAGAAGTTTTTAACATAAAAAATTTTTTACAATTGTTTATGTAGTTATTTTCAATTTGAAAGATTGAAATGGACTTTGACTGAATAAAATTAATAAAGCTTCTGTGTGCTAATTAGCTCATGAAGTATAGAACTAGTTTTTTCCTGACATGTATCATATATAGTAATCAAATAGCAGATAAATGTTATATAGAAACTTTATTTAATATAATAGAAATACAAGAAATACAGAAATAATGTCTTTTTAAATATACACTTATAATATTTAATACATATAATTCAAAAAGAAATCATTATCATACCTTCGACACTACTGAAAGTGTTCCATGGTTCTGATTTAAATCTTATCCATATATACATAGGAAAGATTAAAAATGCACATAATATTATCTGTTAAGGAAAAATTTCATCAATTTTTTAAAAATTTTATTTGAAGTTTCAAGAACTTATTTAGAAAATTTTTAAAGTATGTAAACATTTATAAAATTTCTATATATCTAACTGTAAAATATATAAAATAAAATATCAAACATAATTTTAAAAGATAAATAAATAATAAAGAAATTAAAAATCTACAAATTAAATTTTGTTTTAGTACAGTTCGGATTCAGTATACAAATTTTAAAGAATTATACTGTAAATACACAAGTATTGAAAATCTGTTTTAAATAAGATGAATTTTGTGAAAAATTGCTTATATACTTATGTAAGATACAAAGTAGCATACCATTATATCACAGTAATAATAAATAATTTTTGGTATCTGAAATAGGCAATTATCTAACTATACTACAAATACTTATTTTTTATTTTATTGTTTAATTAAATATTGTTTTTAATTTTTGAAAAAATTTGATTCTAAGTATCAGCTATATTAATAAAATGGTTTGATAAAACTGATAAAATTTATTTTTGTGATTCTAAATACTAATTTTATTCTTCATAATTGTTTTTTAATAGTTTTAATACCATATTACACTTATTCAAAATATTAAAAAATTATAATTCAACTATGGATAATTTGTTGGTTCACTAACATTAACTTCAATAAAATATGAGAATTACCTAACCTTTTCATTATATCATCTCCAACACTTTCTTTAATAACATATGAATAATAATATGGGGATAAGTTTATAAATCTGTTTTCATGATTTTATCTAATTCATGATAAAAAAAACCCCAAGTGTTTTCTTTCTGAATACAGTAAAATTGAAACAACATTCTTTTTCTTAATGTTTCTTTGTCATATACTATTGAATATTCTTATATTAATCTAATTAAATATATCAAATCATATTAAGAAGAAATCGTAGAATCACAATATAATAAAACACTCATTGTAACAATTAAAAAATTAATAAAATATTTTAATTTAAAATATAATAGACTAGGCTCATTGTAATCACTTTGACACTCATCTATACTGATAACAGTAGCTGACTGATAGATGGCCAGAATGGCTGAGTGGTCAAGGTGGCAGCCTACTGCTCTGGGGAACCTAACATTAAATCTGGATGGGTTGAAAAATCCCCAGGAATTTTTCAGAGGTGGTCCAACCAGATATGTTGGCCCCTGTCCCTCACCACCTAGCCATCCCATTGTGGGCCTGGCTGAATCCATACTGGAGTTGCTAAAAGAGGTCAGATTAATCTTTTAGATTTTGTCACTCTGACCCCACTCTCAACTTTCATTACATTTTTAATTTTCTCATCTCATATCTTATAAAATAACAAAGTTTAATAAAAATTGACTAATCAAATTTTGAGAACAAACTCAATTCTATAATCTACATAGAAAAGACTTGACTACTCTGCCTCAAATATTAAAATTAGAGAAAATGCTGGTTTTACTGACTAATGATAAAAGATACTAAAACAATATGACTTGAAGATTAATCAATTATTATTATTATTAAATATACAATTTATTCAGTGTTGCCAACTTTAACAACAATAAGTGTAATTTGCCAACAATTTAAACTATTGTATTGCAAGCAAATAACAATTAAAACAATTAACATTTAAAGCAATGGTTAAGAATGATATTGATTGCATGTTATCAGATGCATACTGAGGCTAACAGACAAAATGAGATGTTAGTAAGACCTACTTATCCAAGATAATAACAATAACCAAATTCTAATTACAATAAGAAAAGTTTCTATAATGTATTTTAAATTGCATGTTATAAGACCTGCTAATTTCAATAACATTAACCAAGTGATAACATGATTTGTGATTACAAAAAGAGTGATTTCGTATTATGACTGAGTACACAGACCAGAGTAATTTTTTGAAAAGTATTTATTATTCACTATCTTTTCTCACTATTGAGTTTGATAAATCCAAACACTAATTGACTACAGTTTTGAAGCTTTCATTGGCTGTAGCTCACTGACTGCTCAAAGTCAACCACAAATATTTAATGTTTTAAATCTATTTGACTGGACTACTAGTTGGTTGGCCTACTGTTGTCATGACAACACAACTAGGAAGCAGTCAAATCAGTTCAGTCAGTCATAGTGTGAAATTGCTCTAAGTAGAATCTACAGTATTTATTTAATCTTAAAAAATAAATGGAATTTTAAGAAAATTGTTTAAAATTAAAATCCTTACACGAGTTTTTAATAATAAAATATAATTCATTGTTCATACCTTTAACCATTGAGGAAAAGTAATGACTCCCCAGGTAACATCCCTAATACTGATTTTACCTAAAAACATACTTGTTAACCATTTCTGGCAACAAGGATGAGCAAGAAATGTGCGATTTCTAGCATCTGCAGCAATATCTACAGCAGTTTTATATGACCAATCTGCACTCTCTTCACTCAGAATGTCATAAGCTCTACACGAAGCATCATTATAACTAGCATCTAGAACTGCAGTTGCCATATCAGCAAACTGTCTAAAAAAACATTATTGAAAAAATATTTAAGTAAATTTTAAAAGTAAATATATTAAAACATATGCATGCTGAATTCTTACTGGCTACGTTCCATCATTTCTGATTTCATTCCCATTTCATGTACATATGAAGACAACCGTTCATAAATCATAGACACAATAAGAGCAACATGTACAGGTTGATCTGAATGTCTCCATAATAATTTACACAGCTTTGGACGATTAGTGAAAACAGCCCACATAATTAGTATGGTTAATGCTTTGCGTTCTGCAGATGTAGGATCACTGGCATACATTCCCATTCCATTCAATGAAAGTTCTTGAGGATTAACAAAATTTGGTATTCCAGTAACATGCTCTATTAACCAATTTAAATCTCTCTCAACAAAATTTTTTCCAAGTTTCCTCTCCTTTGAAAAAAAAAAAAAAAAAAATGTACTAATTAAATACTAGTAATATTAATAGAGGTAATTAAAATATTACCATTCCATGACCTAATACTCCTTCCCAACAAACTGATTGAAAAAATTCTTTCCTCCGAGCTTTTGAAAATATCATTTTCAGTCGCTGAGGAGTTAAATATTTATGAACTCTGAAACCTTGATTTAAAAATAAATCCACAAATTCTTCTCTATTAGGTCTTAACAGAGCTTCATCAAATATTGCTTTATCAATCTATAATAAAATATTATATATATAATAATATCAACAAAGTAACAATTTACTTTAGACTAAATCATATTGAGAATAAAAATATTAAAAAAGTAAAATTATTAAAATTTTAACTTTAAAATATTTAGCTAATTAAAACTATTTATTTTTATGGTAGATATAGTTTATTTTCATATTAAAAATAAAAAAAAGTACCCGAAACTTGTTTGAAGGATCTTTCATAAAAACTTCTGAAGTAGCTACATGAGGAGTATTCCAGTCTAATGTAAGATATAAATCTTTACGCATGTTTGCATGCCAGTTTGAATGTTCAGGTCGCTGAGCTATAAAATTAACATGTAAGATTTTTAAAACAAAAAATGAAATTTATTTATTTATTACTTTGCAAATAACATAGAAGGCAAAGAAAAAACTTTTGTTCTTTTAACAATGATTGTTAAATACCTTATTTCTATTATCATATTTATTCTAATAAAAGGCTGCAAGAAAAAAAAAGTAATAGCCAGCATACCCTATTTATTCTAATAAATAGCATGCTGTTTATTAAAATAAACATTAGAAATGTGAATATCTAACATTTTTCAATGTTAGATATTCACAAGGCATAAAAATATTCTATATCTCATTTTATGTTACAAAATTCAAAATAGTTTTATACCATAAGAACATTTAATCACCTGTATCCATATTAAAATATTAGAAAACAACAAAAAATAACAGCAGAAGATTAAATTTTATTTTTGAAATATTAAAATTTAAAATAAAAAAATATAAAATAAAACAGTTAAAATAATCTAAAATCAAAATTTATATTTAATAAATATAAAATAATTTTTAATATTGATAAGTAAGCTTGTTTTTGATCTTAAAATAAAAGCCACAAAACTTGTATAATTTCTTTTTATAGTAAAAATGTCATCAAAATATTAGTGTTTATTTTGCTTATATATAAGACTAAATATGCAAACTATATATAAACAGGATAATCATAAATATGTACAGTGTGTAATAAAAAATGTATACACACCAATTTTTAATAACTGATATTTATTTTCTTTTTCAGTTGTAAAATAGATATAATAATGAAAAATATCAGATTTTACATTTGAACATTTGTGTCAAAATGCTAGAAATATTAACAATATTGGAAAAATATCAACAAAATCTAGAGACAGTTTAGGAAAAAATACCACACTCAATCTTACAATTTCATATATTGTTAAAAAGCTTTCATATCTACAAACTCAACAAGATTACTAGTAGTACTATACCTTATCTAACAAACATCAAGAAAATCTGTCTGATAAGCTGCTCAAGACTCTGAAATCCCTAAATCCTGTTTACAGAAAATTTTAAAGCATGCAAAATGGAAGGGCTACATTCCAAAATTGATTCAGACCAAGAACAAATATGATCGTGATCACAGAATTGAATTTTGTGAGTGGTATTTATTCAAAACCAATTAATGTCAACAATGCTTGGTTGAGAAACGAGGATAATTTGAATGTTTGTATTAATGTATGTTTTTATTATAAAATCAAATTATTACCCCTGTACAACTATTACATGATTATAGTGATATTATAGTACAACTACTAGTATAAATTATTTTATGTAGACTAATATAATTATATTATAGTCATATTATATATCCAGGGTGGCCAAGCTTCTTGATAGCCCGAGCCATTTTTCAGAATTTGAAATTTTTCGCAAGCCGTAATTAAATACGTATTAAAAAGGTATGCAAAAAATTCCAGAATACAAATTATATCCGTAGCAAGAGTGATACAAATTGTTTCCTCCAGAGCACAATGTCAACTGTCCGTTGCAATGACAGTTTACAAATTCAAAATCGGTCTGGAGTTGGTCGATAACGGATGATTATGCCACTGTTTATGTTCGTTCGCGCAGTTTTCGATGAGTCATATCATTCTTAACTTGGACAGAAATGAAATTTGTTACAACGTTGCACTTAGTCTTTCATATTTTTTGTTAGTAATTTAAAAGACATTTTGAAACACATACGGAACGATAATAATGTTTTAAAATATAATAACAAAAATGAAAAGGGAACTCGGGTACATCTATCGAGAGCCACAAATAATCCTTCAAAGAGCCGCATGTGGCTCGCGAGCCGCAGGTTGGCCACCCCTGTTATATATAGTATTTTACAAACTACAGTACAACTATTTACATAATTGTTTTTTCAGAAGTCTATAAATAATGGGAAACTTTGTGACACTATATGAGGAATCTGATAAAAGCATATGGAGTGAAATTGAAGAATTAAGAGATTCAAACATCAAAATAAAACATTCTATATAACAAAGAGTTAGCCTAGAAGACAATTTTGTTTTGCCATATAATTGCAATTTTTGAAAAGTGATACTACTCTGGAATTATAACAGAAGTTAAAAAGATGCAATATATAAGTACAATGGAATCTGTTGAAAAATATTGGTAGTGGCCTGAAGAAAAAATTAAAAAATGATTCATTTACTATTTTTATCATTTTATTTTATTGCTCTCTTATTCTTGAAAAACAATTTTCTACATTCAATATCATGTTGTCAACAAGTTTTAATTTTATATTTCTGATAATAATGAAAAATAAGATTTAGTGTTTATTGAAGGACTAAAAATTGTTTGTTTTTTGTTAATTAACAAAGTTAATATTTCTAATGAATAATTTTTGTTTTCCCTCTTCTTTCCTATTAGCAATTGCCATGGGGTAACATTGTGACATGGAATTCACTATAGATTTATGTGGCAAACAGACTGTCACAAAGATATGCCAAATGACAGAATAAAATTATGACAAATATTTTTCACAATATTGTTTTAAAACAATAATTAACAATAAAAAAAAATATATGTATAAAGGTTAATGTTAAATCTTCCTACAATGTCAGCATGTTTGGTCCAATAATATTTAAATAAATTTATAAAATAATTTACTATCATAAATTATTGTTATAAATTAAGTCTTCTAAACATTAAAAAAGTAACTATAAAATGTATATTAAATTTAAAAAAGAAAATTAAAAAATTCTCTTTATAACTGATTATAGATTAATTTTTTAAAATATGAATAATTATATTTTTTCTTGTATAGCTCTAAATTTCATCTATAAATTTAAAAATGTTTAATTTAAAATAGTAATTCTGAAACAATGGAGTCTAATTTTTATACAGTGTAAAAAATAGTTAACTTATATGTTATTTTAATTTTTCTAAGTTTTATTTAAGTTGTCAAAAATGTGTCTTACTATCATCAAAGAATATCTTTGACACTTAAAATGTCTGCAAGAGTTAGGAATAACTTTTCTTAAAGTTATAATTGAAATTAAAATGTACACATTAATATAGTAAATAAACAATTTATTCAAGACATGCTTCTACTTTAAAGTCTTCAAATTGTAAATTATCATAACAAAACAGTTTCATATAAAGCAAAAATAAAATTTTTTAAAACAAATGATAAAACTACTATGTTTATTAATAAAAACTGCTTTTTATAAATACTTTAATGCTTCTTTTCAAACGATATGGCATTCTAAATTTAAATCATTTAACAATCTGTACATGCTTTTTTCATCAGTGCAATAAGCAGTTGCTATTGGAAGTGATGTTTTTGCTGCTGGACAGGTCCAAACCCTCTCTAAAATTCATGTTAAAATATTTCGAAAAATAAAAAAAAAAAGAATCTAGAAATAATTTTTTGTATGAAAAATGTGATACAAACATGTAAACAATAAAAGAATGTAAGTCCTAATATCAACCATTCCTGGTTGGGATCAAATTAAATGTCAATTTTGACCTTTTCCACAATCTAAGTTGAAATCTTGTTATACTTAGCTATGAGAAATCAATTAAGAAAGTGAGAACAAAGAAAAGTGCAAAATGGGCAATCAGGAGCAGAAAATAATAAAATCTCAAATTTCAAGAATCTGACAGCTTCTCCTGAAAATTCCAAGTGTCAGACCAATTGTTGTGTGTCTTGTGCCTATCTTTGTCTCTGTCTCCCTTCCTTGGATTGATATCTTCCCATCACTGGAAGTTGACTGCATCATCCTGGAGTGGTCAAGACATCGAAGAAACTCTCACTCACAAACTGGAACATTCCTTCACTTGGGACTATCTTGAAAAGGAGAGGAAGACCCAACATTGTCACTGACTTTGAACTTCCAAGATTGAAGAAATCTTCTAAGTTCCTTTTGTGTCAAATAAATAATTTCTTGTAACTGTAGAGTCTGTCTCAGTGCTGACTGCATCCACTTATGACCCTCTCAACCTATCATCCATCCTGACCATCACTCTCCATCACTGATGGGTCAGTAATCCCACAGATTATAGTTGAAAACACGTTTGTTGGAAAAAAGAGTTAATTTGGTTACATCAAAATGGCTAATATAATTAAGAATGATGCTTTTTCTGCTACATTTCCATGCATTTGTTCAATGTTATTAGAAGAAAAGCCATTAAGTATGAAGTTGTTTATTAGAAAAAGAAGAATTAATGATTTATTTATTTCCTAATCTGAAAACATATTTTCATTTAGAGGTAGACACAATTGGTAGCATAATCGAGAGATGCTGCCAGTGCACTGACAATATATTTTATAACTGAAAGTATTTGCTAAAGAAACTGCAAGCATGCAGAATGAAAAAAATAAACAGAATTTTTTTCTATTTAAAATTCAAACATTGTTTAAAATGACAGTTCTTAATGTGTATTTGGAGTGTATTTAGGCTTTGGATCTAAAGATGAGACATTGTTGTCTCAAAAAATGTTTAATCTGTAATAAAAACAAACTTTTTAAAATAAACAGCATACAATATTAAGAATTCATTTAGGGAGTCACTAGTAACCAAGAATCTAACAGTTTTATTTTATAAATTAAAAAAATTTAATCTAAAATTAAGAATATCAGTAAAATTTAATGAATTTTAATAAAATAAAATTATAAATATACCTTTAAATAATGAACGAAGCAAATGTTCATCCAGATTTTCCAAACCAATGGAATGGCCATGAAGGTTCAAAATTGTTAAATAAACTTGTGTATTCTGTTTAACAAATGACATTAATATGATTATAATATTTAAAAATAACAACAACAATTTAGAGAATAAGTTAATTGCAAAATATGATTTCCTTAAAATTAAGATATATTTTTAATACATTAATATAACTTTATATACATATACATATTTTAATATGCTTTTAATATGTTTTTAGAGAATCTTATTGTCTCTACCATTACAACATTATAAAAGATACTAACTTAATAACATATATTTTGAATGTTTAACTTAACCTAAAATATAATTCATTTAACATTAATTCAATAGCTAAATGTTTGAATATACTAGTTTTAATACTCATAAATTGACAGTTTAAGCTAATGGAAGGGCAATTTAGTAATAATAGCATAAAACGTTTAAAAAATTATTATTAATAGATACCTGATGTGAATATCTAACACATTCCAAAATTCGGTCTCTGAATATATTTCTAGCTAGAGTATTATCACGAAGTCTTGGAAAATTTCTTGTTATTTTACTTGTTAAATCTGGTTTTAAAGAATTTTCTACAAATTCTGCATCCCAACATCCCTGTAATCTTGTAAACATAAATTTAAATCAATTAACTAATTTTAAAAAAATCAAAACATTAAAAGTCTCAGAAATTATAGTTTAAATTATAAACACAGGAGCTCCCCTACTTATGAATATTCAACTTATGAACAATTTGACTGTAAATCTAAAATTTAAATTTTGCAAGGATTACAAAGTTTTCTTGACAGTCAGGGGGTCAATCTTTAGCCAGTAATAAATATTAAATTTTTAATAATTAATTAATGAGGATTTATTTCTAATGCATACAAAATTATCAATTTTCATTTTCGCACAAATTCCGATGTTCCATTTCTGCTTGTGAGGTGACATTGAGTTGGTAATGTTGGAATAATGATATTTTTTGCTATTGTTTGTGTGAGATAATCCGTGAGTCAATATGTGAGAATTGACCCTTTTCCAGCGTTGGATCAGTGAGATCCGTTCTCTTGACCCCGGATGGCTTCAGCATAGCAAGTTGACCTAAGATCAGAAGATTTTAAGTCAGATTCTTTTTTCTGACACCAGTTAAGAAATAACGTGTCTTAACTCATGATTATACTTGTTGTCTAAATTTGGAGTAGAGGGCTGGATTGAGTAGCAGAGTTGTGGGTAAGTCAATAGGCATTCGTTCTCCATGTAAATACAGGTCAACAGATAGGTTAACAGATATTAAAACTGTAATGAATCAAAATAAAGCAATGATTACACTAAAGCAACTACACTAAATCTATGTACAGTCAACCCCCTATAACGTGGTAGATACGTTCCACTTTATAAGAATTTCACGGTGTAGGAATCCTTAAATACATGAGCCAATCACAGCCCAGCACGTGTGCAGTTTACAAACTATGGTTGTTTGAAAGGTTTTCTTCCATAAAATTAATTGATTCTAGACTAATTTGACTCAACATTTCCAAAACACGTATAATTTTTTGGGAATAATCTGTATATACTATGCTATAAACAAAAAATTGTAGGATTACTTACCGAGTGTGCACTGTTCAATGACGCCACTGCTTAAGCTTGTTTTCATCGCGGAGCAGCGCATCAAATGGCGGGCATGGTTTTCTGATAAGTTATTCATTCAAACGGTTTTCTGATAAGTTACTTTTCTGCAAAAAATTCGTTGAACTTTGGAGACATCGGGCACGTTCGTAAAGTCGAACAGGTTAAACGAGAATGATGTCATCGTTATTCTTATTTCGTTAGACTTTTCGAACGATTCATTTAGAACTAAATGGCTGTTTCTAAAATCGAAGATACAAATGTTGCTAGTACAGCCTTATCCAAAATATTTTTCTTAGATTGCTTCGGGTGGACAGTTACTCCAATCATTTCATCTTTTAATTCACAATTTAAATGCTCGAGTAGATTTAGAAACATTGATATCGTCGGGCGCCATTTTCTTAACGAAGTAAACTAACTCTTTCCTTCGTGAACTTCGTTAGAGTTTCGTTCGAAATGTCATCACCGCAGAGCATGCGCACTGAGCGAGACTACTACTATTCGAACGATTCGTTACTAACGCGTTTAACTCGTTTGACTTTACGAACATACCCATCATTAATAGAAATAATTTTTATGGCCGTTGAATAAGAAATGTTTTTTTCACAAGAAATGTATAAAATTACAGTACTGTATTAGACTTGCAGTACCTAATTTATATACTGTATAGACAATAGTAAACTCAACTTACCCGCCTAAACTCTCCGTAGCATGTAAGTAGTTCGGCTGCTCGTCCACTATTGGTCCAGATTCGACCAATCCTGTCACAACACGAGTCAGCGATGACGTTTTACCACATTTTATGAATCTCTTTTAGCGTCTTTATACAAATATGGTCGCAATTTTTTCGCCGCGATATACGAATCCGCATTATATGAACCCACATTATGGGGGGGTCGACTGTACAGTACAACTACAATCAACGTCTTTGATTGATAATACATCTAAGATATGAACTATGACATATCTTATATCCTATATCTAAGTACTTCTGCACTAATGGAGCAAGAGAGAGTTTACAATGAATCTCTAAGTAAAATACCTCTATGGGAAATAGACCAATATCTTCGAATCTGGTAGCATTGACATAGATTAGGGAGACCTCTCAGGAGACTATTCTCCGGTGAGTGATGGGCAACGAGAGCTGGGAGATGATGGGTTGATGGACGCGCTTCGGTCCAGCTTCTAGGTAGAGTCTGCCCTGAAGATCGGGTGTGCACCCTTTTATCCTCACTGAGTGAGGGAATTTAATCAAGGTGACTTCCATTTTTGTGGTCCTAAATTCAAGATGTGTCATCAGCTTAGCTGAGGAGGACTGTAAGAATTTGGTGACCTGAGTGGTTTGTTGATGCTTTCTGCCAGGTGCTGCTACTCTTGTGTACTATACAGTGGAACTTCACTTAATGAGCATAATTCATTCCAGAATCTTACTCATAATGCAAAACACTCATTAAGCAAAACAGTTTTTCCCCATATAAATTAATGTAAAAAACGATAATGTGTTCCATGCCGAAAAACAATACTCAAGTATTTTATGTATAACATTCATTCAAAGAAAATTATACAATATACATTGTTAAGGAATGTGAATCATCTTTATTTTTTCTTCTAGTGTGGAATGAACCAACCTGAAATGTGCATCCAATTTGCAGAAAACAAAAAAAATCAAAAAAATACATATCATAAACAGCCATACAATATGCCAAATTTTTGGGCTATGAAAAGTCTATAATTAAATATTAGAAATTAATTAATTTGATTAGAGTTAGGCAGTTATGATCCATTTCATATTAAATTTAATAATTACAGTATAAATAATTAATTTTTAATTTAGACATTTCTAAAATTTAATTTGGAATTGGTCATTAAATTTAGTACAAGATGGCAGCATAACTGCCTACTTCTAGTCAAATTATCAATTTCTAATATTTAATTATAGCCTTTACATAGTCCAAGAATTTGGCATATTGTTTGGTATGTTTATTGTATAATGAGTTATGGTTGTTGATATTTATATGTAATGTCTGAACACAAGTGTTGAAAAATGTGTGATCACAAGCAACACTAAGATGCTGGCAGAACGAGTGCTAAACACAAACTGATGGAGCATGTGTACAATTAGAGACTTTCCCTCTCCTTGTCACTCGTTATGCGAAGCATCGCTCATTAAGCGAGTCATTTTTCACAATTTGTTTTGCTCATTGTGCGAGGTGCTTGTTAAGCAAGGTTCTACTGTAATTTAAACAAAGTCAAAGTTCTTAGATGTCAATTAGATGTTGGGAATTATCTTAGCAACTTTCCCAAAACAAAAGAAAAGATTGTTGTTTTTGCTAAAACATTTGATTGTCTCTTGTTTATCTAACCCAAGGAAAATGGAAATGCCAGGTGGAGACCTAGGTTTTTTCCATGCTACAATTAATCAAATTACTTAATTGCCCTCAGAATCTCACATTTGCAATTTTTATAAACTTTTACAATTAGTGCTTTCAAAAGTGCATCCAAAATGTAATAATAAATCTAACAGTGGAGATGAGTGCAAGAAGTGTGGCTCTATTACGTTGGTAAGGAAACACATCTTTTGATTTTCAGCAGTAAGTTTAATACCATGAAAATGTTTTTGACTTATTCATAGGTTGAAAACATTTACCACAGAAAGTAAAGCTGACAAAACTTAAGTGCATTAGGTGAAAAAACCACATTTGAAACACTTGTAGCTTCAAATTTATTCTATTAAGCACATTTAAGAATAAAACATTAACAATACATGATTATTCTATGTAAAAATGTACTTTCTAGATTAGTTTTTGGCTTAGGAACATTTTAACTTATGATAAAATCTTAGGAATCTACCTATTTATAAGTAGGGGAGAATCTTATATATACTTATATATCTAATATAAATTTCTACATTCACATTTCTAATATAAATTTTTCATTACAGTAGCACTTGCTTTTGATATCTAATTAGTTTCTAGGAAACTATGAATAAATAAACAATTTTAAATCAAATCTTAATATATCATATGCTTAGTATTGTAAATTGAGGTGCTATTCCCAGAAATAAAGTTTGAACATCATCAAACAACATTCAAACTTTGCAGATGCTTTACAGATTTCTTTACAGTTCACACCATTACACCATTTTAATACATAGATTCTTTTTGTTTTATAATTATTTTGTTATTCTTTATATTTATTATTGATATTTGAAATTAATTAAATTAACAACTGAATTAAACATTTTAAAATTATGAAAAGTATGATGAATATATTTACCTATACTGAATTTCATAATAAGCATGTGCAATTAAGTCAGCTAATCCACCTGATCCATATAGCACAACAACAGGAAGTTGTTTTTTTAAATGGTCTAAAACAAGTCGAGCACAATTGTAACCACCTTGGATTAACAATGCCACTACAGGAATTTCATTTGAACTCAAAGTTTCAATATCATCATTTCTTTGATCTATAAATAATATAAATTTTTTTTTTTTTTTGACAAACCTAATATCTAAATGCTGTTGATATTTCTAATATTATATTTTAAATAAAAATTTTTAAAAAATATTTTCATTAAATCATATATTGATAAAACAAGTAAAGTAAAATGTAAATCATCACATAATAAAAATTTTTAATTTTTATTTATATTTCTTTTATGTAATCTCTCCTCTATTTCTTCTCTACATTATCATTTTAATATAGTTATTCTTTTATTATCATTATTAATAATTATTATACAGTAACAGTTTGATATATAGCATGCTTATTATAAGATATGAAAAAGTACAAATTTATCGGTGCAAGCTTTTACTCATAAAAGACAGTGATAAAAATAGTAGTAGTATACTCCAATACTACTACTAATTTTAAGACAACGGTAAAACATGCTTGACATGCTTGTGTTGTACATTTCATTATAAGGTATAATTTCTGCTAATTGATTTTGGCACTTGGTATATGATATACGGTATTATGTAGCAAATGACCAAATAAGTAAAAATATTAAATGGCATTGCCTTCATTGTTGTCAAAGAGCAGCAATGCATTGCATCCAAGCATGAAAAGCACACAATACAGGATGGGGAAAAAGTCAACACCCCAGCTACAGAATATAGAATGTACCTAAAGTTAATTCACTCATATCAGGAATACATTAGACCAAGGGGAAAAGAGATTGATGTGTGTTACACGCAAGACTGCCGTATTGATGGTGGCCATATTGAATACAACTGTAAATGGAAAGGTGTTCATGTGACACATCATTTAAGGTCAGAATTTCACAAGGAATTGATTGCTGAAAGATTTTATTGACCTACCTCAAACAGTTACAGAGTTATGCATATTACATGATGTGCTTAAATTAATGTACATTCTTTGGGTACATTCTGTATTGTGTAGCAGAAGTATGTGAGGGTTTCTGGGTGATGTCCAGGCACCACTGTGTGATTCTACTATGATCTTTCCTTCTGATACCACTGTAAGGTTCTCTAATAGTAGTGTGTAAATTCTAACACCAAGTAGGTTACACCTATTACATGAGCTTTGAGCATTTTCCTGGATGGCAATATGCGGTCTCATATATGAGATTAGAGGTAACAGGATAGAGTAGGAAAAGACAAGATTCAGTTGAAATTGATTCACTCAACACAATTTACTACACTTAAACATTTATTAGACAGCACAAAAATTGTGAATACCTTGTGTAACATGTTGTACCATTTCAGAGAGAGAGAGAGAGAGAGAGATTACAAATTTTTGGTACCTCACAAATTGGAACTAGAATCACTGTTAAGGATCTTTCACTGTTAAGGTGAAATGTAGTCCTTCAGTTAGCAGTTCGGGAGACAACCAGTAAGAAGAGGAATGTCGAAGAATCAGAAAAGCACTAATCCAGAAAGGCACACAGACACAGTAAATTGAACAGTTGAAAGAATGGGTGACAACTGACTGAAATCAGCCATTCCTTATCATATTCAAAGTACTAAATATCTTAGAAGTGACTAAAAGTCATGGGAAAGGTGTCACTACTGACTCTGAGAAAGCATAAGTTGACACTTTCTCAGATCAGAAAGTTGACATACACTAGCTTCTGATGAGGTCATCCTTCAGTTGTTTTCCTTTTACTTGTTCGATTCTCACAACTGTTAAGTGACTTTTTTTCCCACCCTGTAGTTTCTAGTTTCAATTTCATTTTGCCTACATGTAAAACATGACTTCAAAACAAAAATGTTATGGCATGGAAAAATAAACATTCTATGAACAATGCTCATGGCAAAAAGTATAAAATTATACCAAAAGAGTTTAGCCTGATAAGCAAATCATCAATGTTCTGAATGATATTAATAAGCTTAAATCAAAGCTGAATATGAGAGATGATGAGAAGATTTAATTTGAAAAAGGGCTACATACAACAAAACATCCCAAACTTGAAAAAAACAATCCTCAAATGAATTACAGGAAAATACAAAAAGTCCTCACCTAATGTTATTGACAGGTTCTTGGAAACTGCATTATCAAGCAAAATTAGGTATCTAAAGGTTAAGCCTCATCATAACTAATGCTCTCTCTCCACTGCAGTCTTTTTTAATTCCTAATAATCTTTGTTTCTTAATGTTTATCTTTAAACTCCATTGATGTAAGTTTTAGTGCAGTATACTAAGCTTATACTGTAATTCATTTTCTTTCTCTTTCTGAATTATTCATTATCACTAACTATATCATCAGAAAATCTGATGTAGTGTATCTTTTTCTTATTTATCATTATACCTTTTGTCTTACTCCTCATCTTTTGTTTAATCTCTTCAATCTATATATTAAACAGGTAAAGAGAAAGTGGGCAGCCTTGTCTTATACTCTTCTTCATCTTTGTTTCTCTCTTCACTCCATTCATATTTATTATATGTATGCTGGTTCTTCTGTAACTGGTAAATTATCCTTTTATCTCTCCAATCTAAGTTTGTCTTCTTCATAGTTTTAAATAGCATATCCCATTTTGCTCTATCAAACACTTTCTCTAAATCTATGAATGTGATATATATATATTTTTTTTTTTGTTAATTTCTAAGCTTCTTTCTAGAATCATTTGCAATGCAAAGATAGCTTCTCTCATGCCTTTACCTACCCAGAATGCAAACTATTCTTATTCCAAGTAATTGTCTATTTTACTTTGTATTCTGCTTTTAACTATATGTAGTAGAATTTTTTTGAGGTATGTGATAAGAGATATTGTTCTATAATCAGAGCATTCTAAAGCAATGTCTTTAGAATGATAGTTCTGATTTTCATAAAATTGCATGGTATCTCATCTGTTTCATAACAGTCATAAATTACTTTATATAATTGCTTTTTCATATCTATTCCTACATTTTTAAAAAACTCTGTATGTTGTCTATTCCTGTTGCCTTCCCCAAGCTTAGTTTTCTGAGTGCTTGTCAAATTCTTCCTCTAATATTAATAGACCTAAATTTTCTGTATCAATTATATTTTCATTTTCAATGTCTCTAATTTCATCATTATATAATTCCTCCATATACTCTTTCCATCTGTCACTAATTTCTTCATTGTATATAAAAATTTTGCCTCCTTTTTCTGTGACTATAGTTGATCTTAATCTTATGTGTATGAGCCATTTGATTTTATGGTATACTCTGTCTTGTCGACTCCTCTTTATATCTTTATTTCCTCTGTCATCCAAGATTTTCTAGGTGCCAATTTTCTTTTTGGAAACTTTCTTAATTCTTGCCTTTTATTCCATCCTGTCCAGATTCAGAGGTTCTATTGAACCAATTATTAGTTGTTTCTTCATCAATTTGTCTTGTCATGTCTGTTAATCTTTCTAGACATATATTTTTTCTTCCAATTCTCATGACCTTTTTAAACCTAATGCTACACCTTGCTATAATTATCTTATGGTCACTGTATATCTGGGCCTGGGTAACTATGACTAGATTTCATCTGGTTCCTGCATCTTTGTTTTACATAGATATAGTCAATTTGATATTTTTTGGAGTCAGGTAGTACCCATAAATTATGTATAACTAAACTAATTTTATTATAGATAAATGACATAAGCAAAATACAATTTAGTTAATATAACAGTATTTATATTGTTTTTGAAATCTCCAATATTTATTTTTCACCTCATAAAACCAATTTTATGTTTATAAAAAAAATTTAACAACAATAATTGTAAATAATTACAAATGTTCTTGTATCTTTTCTCAATGATATTATAAAGAAACAACATTAAGTGAGGTTTTGCTATACTGCTGAAGACAATTTTATCAGGGGGAATGACTCAGAAAAACACAAAACTTATTCTGAAAATTCTAATTTGAAAATTTTGATGCAAGTGATGGAAGAACAATTTGATAATTTTATGCTCCTGTGCAAAGATCACACAAACTAACTATAAACAATGCCATAATACAGTTGCTAAAATGATCTACTGGAATATTTGCCAAAACTACTTTGTGCTAATTACAAAAAACTGGTGGGATCATAACAAAAAAGTTGTAGAAAACTCTGAAGTTAAGATCCTATGGGATTTCAGAATACAGACAGACAACATTCCAGCATATAATACATCAGATATAATGGTGGTTGAGAAAAAGAGAGTATGGTGGATCATCAACATTGTCAAACCAGGAGACTCCAGAATAAAAAAAAAAAAACAAGAAAAAATCATAAAATACTAAGATCTAAAGATTCAAAGGTCATAGAATGAACCAGCAGTTGTGGTACCAGTGGTCATCAGCACACTGGGTGCTATTCCAAAACACCTATGGCAGCACTTAAATCTAAAAATTTTCAAAATCACCATCTGCCAACTAAAAAAGCCATATTGTTTGGGTCTGCACACATTCTACACTGATACCTTACTACATCTTAGATTCGTGGGAATAATTCAATGTGTAAAAAGGCCAACACCAGCAATACAATCAACAGATGAGAAACAACAGATAATAATAATAATAATAATAATAATAATAATAATAATAATGTACATGGACGACATAAAACTTTATGCATCCACACAAAAACAACTTCATCAACTCCTACAAATCACACATTCATACACCAAGGNTAGAAATACATACATAACACTACAGAAGGCCACTATATTGAATACATGCCACATTGTTAGGAAATTCCTGAATACAGACACACACACTGACACACTTATTTAATTTTAGTTTTGTTTTGGTTGCTATGCCTTGACTCTGGTCCGGCATAGCACACAGCCACCGGTGTGAACCGAGTATAACTCAACAACAATAATAATAATAATAATAGCAATAATCTTCAGTTTATCAAATTATTCAAATCTTCAACTTATACATTTTTTAATTGCTTTAACATGTCCTTTTTAAAAAATTTGTTGTAAATTCTAAAAATAAAAATTATTCTCAGATTAAAAGTACAAGTAAAAATTACTCTTTTATGACCGATTTCAAGCGATTTATACTAGTGAGCAAATTATTAACAAAAAGATACTATACTTCAACCAAAACCAAAGTCTTGTTGTTTAAAAAATTTTTTAGAAATATCACTGATCCATTGTTTTAATCTTTATTGAACAACACTGTCCTTTTTATCCCTTGTGAGAGTAATTTTTTCAGGATGACCATCCAAAAAATGTTTTCAATTATTTCTTCATTGATATTTGATATATAATTAATATTTATGAAATAATATGCAAAAGATTAGCTCTTACACATGTTATTTTTCTAAAAATAAAATCATTTTAATTATTTATTTAGTGGTTATTAATAATATTAATAAATAAAAAGTTTTGATTATTTGTCTGCAAAAAAACTACCAAAAACAATTTACATAGATGTTGTCAAATTCCAAAAATAAATTAGGAAAAACGACAAAACAATTTTTGTAACAATGCCATCTATTGAAGAAATACTTAACAACTGTAAATGCATCAGAGATGTTAAGATAAAAAAATGCTGTAGAAATATTTCACAACAAACATATGACATACATCAAAGCCAAAAAAGTGAATGTACAGGATGCAACAGTGACTGAGAAAAAATTAATGAGGGATTTAATAAAACAAGTCTTCATCTATGTACTTCACTTAATGTTAATATTTATTTATTGTTATCAATATAAACAAGTTCCAAAATGATTATAGTAAATGAACTGTACTGTATATTGCATAAAACTAAATGAGTTGAAAACAAAAAAAAATTCAAAGTATATTGGAATGATAATTTGTTAAAAGAATGAGTAACACTTGTGCCAATTTTATAAAATTTATAGTTAGATATAGTTTAAATTTAATTATAAATTTTATACTATAATTAAAAGTATTATTTATTCTTTAAAAATTTATTTTTAAGATATTTATAGAAAAGTAGAATGCAAATACTATAATCCTTATCTATAAAATATTTTCCAAATAGCAATTCATTATTTTCTGTAAATCTATATATTCTTCATATTCTCTAAATGTTTGTATGTTTTGGCGATTCTGTGTATTTTTACAATATTCAATGCAATTATATCAAATATTAAATAAATATATAATATTAATTGAATTACAAAAATTACAAAAATGAAATTCTTACTTGGAGTTGAAGTTTCCACAGCACTAACCATATATTGTTCCAGATGAAGCAGAAAATGATTCATTCCTGTTTTATTAATTGTATTATCTTTAACAATAATATAATGAGAATGATCAGGATTTAATTCATACTTGTTTTCTTCTGGACAGTTTCCTTCATTTTCAATTTCTACTCGATCAAGCTGCATAAAAAAAATATTGAATAAAAATTTTCTCTCTAACAAATTAAATCTAATTATTGTTTCAACCCTTAAATATTTTTAAAAATAAATGACATTATTTAATAATATAAAGTGAAAACAAGTTTTGAGAGAACAATTCATAGTTATCACCAAAATATTTTTAATTTTCAATTAAAAGTGAACTGATGAAAATAATCAATATATTTTGTCATTTTTCTGATAATTTTTTCACAACAGGTTTTGCCAAAATTATCTTCTGCTATCTATATTGTAATATGATTCACTACAATTCAAAACCTATAAAAACAAAGTCTAATTACTTTTCCAATCTAAAAAATGCTATGATTGGATGGCTGAATAGTTATGTTGTCAGCTTACTGCTCTGAAGAAACCAAGGATCAAATCCAGGCAAGCAATTTCCTGGAAATTTTTCATAGGCAGTCTGTCTCAGATATACTAGGTCCCATTCTTCACAACCTAGATGCAACATTGTGGGCCTGGCCAAACCCGCAATAGGTTTTATAGAAAGGCCTTCTTAGTGCCCACTGGGCAAAAAGAGTAGGAAAAAAAAATAATTAATTTTTATAATTATCTATATATTAATATATAAAAATGAATGTGTGTGTGTGTGTGTGTGTGTGTGTCCTTCATGCATTACCACACCGTTTATCCGATTGCCGTGAAACTTTGGAAAATTGTTTCGTATATACTCCAGCGAAGGTTTGTGACATAGTACGATTGCCATGAAGCTTTGGGAAGTTTTTTTTTTAATACACTCCCGCGAAGGTTTCTGGCATTTACCCTACGATAGATGGCGCGCATTTACACGAGCATTCGAGCACAGTGTGTTCAATCAATTTAAAATTGTGAAGACCATTTCCCCCCTCCAAAAAATATCTCTATATATGCATTTATTATTTACGATATTTGTTATAATTTTTGTTTAATCACTTTATTTCAACTTTTTTTTGCTAATTACGTAATTGCTCGAACTTTGTTAAAGCCTTAACTGTATCATGAACAACAACCAAAGTTGTAGAAGGAAATTCGCCTATTTTACCGATCTAGGGATCCCCTTTTCCAAATTTTAATATCGACTCAAAATAATTTAAAAAGACAAATTACAATAAAACGGTTTATTATCCAACTATGAGAAATTTCACAACATGCCAAGGAAGAGAGAAAGGAGCAATTAAATAATTAAAATTATAAAGGATTAAAAAATATATAT